CGGGGTCTACACAGATACTGTACATGGGTAGGGTGAGGTCTAGGGATCAAACCCTGGGTACTGCATCCGCTACTGCTAAAAGGTGAAAACCGTTTCAGCTGTCAAGGGGGGGGAAGGGGAGTATAAATGAATGTTGAAGGGGCTAAAGGGGTTTAAAAGGGGGTGCTTTAGTGTTTTTTTTTTTTTTTTTAATCTTCAGTTCCGTGAGGAATTCTGATGTACACAACATACTTTTTTGTCAGATTTTTTTGGAGGTCTCTTTTGTTTGTTTTTTTTTGCGCTGGAGCTGCCCGGGCCCATGCCCGGGGGTCATGCCCGGCCGGTCACCCAGTCGCCAAACCGGGCCTGACGTCGGGACCTGGGCACCCAGGATATCTCCCTAGCTTTTTTTTCTTTTTTTTTTCCCCTTCTTCTTTGGCTACCAGCCGGGCCACCCAGCTCACCTTGTTTGCCCGGGCGGCCGGGCCGTGCAAAGACCAAAGAAGGTCCCAGAAAAAAAAATAAAAAAAATCCAAAAACAAATTATGTTATGCACTAGGCTACCAGAGTGGCCCGGGACCACTTGCCTGGACGGGCCAAAAACAAACAAAAAATATAAAAATAAAAATGAATTTACCTAGGCTACCAGAGTGGCCCGGGGTTACTTGCCCGGCCAGGCCAAAAACACTAAGAAAAATAAAAATAAAAACATTATTTTAAATTTTATTTTTTACTTTGAATTTGGTGAAGAATTTCGATGCGACCCTGAGGCAAAAGTTGTTCAGTTTATTTTTCTGCATAACATAGTTTTTTTTGTGGATGTTTTGGAATTTTTTTTATTTTTTTTTTTGCTGGGACCTTCCCCGGTCCTTGCACGGGCTGGCCACCCGGGCATAGGGCAATGGTTGAGCACCTCACGCAGGAGATACAGAGTCCCACACACCTCGTCACTCACAACAGCAAACCCGCAAGGCGGGATTTCAAATAGGAAATAGTAACATCATAGTCCACCGCCGAACCACCCTCGAACGGTCACACCCTATGAACCGCCGTCACTCCAGACAAACAAAAGCTACCGCAGACAAACAACGCAAAGCGTTGGTTGTCCGCAGGAGCAAAGGAGTCCGCTGTGAAAGAGGACGGACATATGATACGACCGCGTATTTATATCGCAAAAACAGGGAACCAGCTCCGGGTGGGTTGCCCCACTACACTACCCTAGTTCTGCACAAATTGTCTGACAAGACAGGCTGTCAGCTGCCAGATCGGGCCTCTTTTGACTGCAAAGTTATCCAGTACTTTGACAAACAGGGCTCTTGGGTACCTCTTCCTCTGGTAGGCCAATTTCAGAAAGATGACTTGTACCGAGATCTTCGCGCGAATTAGAGTATTCCGGTCAATTCTATGCAACCACCCGGCTATTGCAGCCGCTTTTTGGCTTCGTGAAGACCAGGACCCGAAATCCTGGCCAACTTGGATTGTCAAAGGCAGTCCAAGTTTCAGGTCATCTTCATTGCGGATACGCTGGAAGCACCCAAGATAAGCTGGTTTAGTCCGGATTTCCAGCGCACACCCCAAGAATTCCCAACGGGACCCGGGCGGCCCGGCTGGTAGCCTAGGATTTTTCAATTTTATTTTTTATTTAAAATTTGGTAAAGAATTTCGATGTGACAATGAGGCAAAAGTTGTTCAGTTTATTCTTCTGCACAACATACTCTTTTCCCGGTTTTTTTTTTGTTTGTTTGTTTTTGCAGGGACCTTTACTGGTCCTTGCATGGCCGGGCCGCCCGGGACAACAGGGTGACCCGGGCGGCCCGGCTGGTAGCCTAGGATTTTTCAATTTTATTTTTTATTTAAAATTTGGTAAAGAATTTCGATGTGACAATGAGGCAAAAGTTGTTCAGTTTATTCTTCTGCACAACATACTCTTTTCCCGGTTTTTTTTTTGTTTGTTTGTTTTTGCAGGGACCTTTACTGGTCCTTGCATGGCCGGGCCGCCCGGGACAACAGGGTGACCCGGGCGGCCCGGCTGGTAGCCTAGGTTATGCAGAAAAATAAATTGAACAACTTTTGCCCCAGGGTCACATCTAAATTCTTTACCAACTTTAAAATACAAAATAGAATTTAAAAAGACTTTAATTAAAAAGTATCTTTTTTTTCCTTTTCTTTTTTGGGGGGCCCGGCCGGGCAAGTGGTCCCGGGCCACTCTGGTAGCCTAGAATCCTTTTTTTTTTTTTTTTTTTGCATTCCTGATGCCATGTTCGCTGTTGCACCGTTCTTGTCCTTTCTCCTAGCAATTGCCTTTGACAGACCTTAGCAGGCTTCCCCTCCCAAGACTTATCTGCATGCCCTGCACCTGCCTGTCTTCTTCCCATAGGTTCATTTTGAGTGGTCTGCTTCTGTCCTTATGTGCAACTTGGTGGCCTGCTAAAATTTTATTAAAAACGCAGCCCCAAAACATTTGTG